ATTTTCTATCAAAATCGCAACGGGTTCAAAATGAAATCCCGAAAAAAGTAAACAAGATGGACGAAGTCGAACCGTTATATTTCTTTCGCCAAATTCTTTCGCCATTAACGAATTTTAATCGCCACATTTTTTATTTTTTTAGCACGAAAATGGCGGTTTTATTTTATACTTAAAAGAAATTACGATAACTTAAATTTGGCTTCTTTGTGATAAAACATACGCTTACAGATTTGTGGATGTCAAAGACCGAGAGGAGGTATTACTGTTTCCCCTCTTTATGTCCGTCTACATCATTCGCTATTGAATGAAAACAATCTTCTTACATAGATATAAAGAGATGTGGCATTACTGTCAATGAGACAACTATCCACCAAAGTTCAAATGAAGTGGATTTAAGCAATGATAGGCAACCGTACGGCCTTCAACAATGAGAAAAACCTATATCGTATAGTCGGGTATAAAATGTCCCGACATGAAAATGATGACACAATTTAATTGAGAAAACTAAAGGCCTAATTTATAACAAAAACACTTTCGAAGAAGTGAAATAACAGACATGAACCAACGACAACCACTGAACTACAGGCTTAATCCAATATACTTGATTTAAATTGATGGCTTTTTCAATTTCCCTTTTTTGTTATGTTTTCATCTCATTGTCTCCAAATGTCTTAAATCATTTTAGATTATTAGCTATATTGTGTAGTAAATAACTTCTTGCATCATGTCTTCTCTTAGTATTAATTCATGAAATGTGTATTCTTCAACTGCCATATTTTTAGACATACTCGCTTTACAACTAGTTTCCTTTGTGAAATTCGTTAGGTGCTTATAAGTAAATGAGGTAAATATCATATCTTAAAGTTTTGATATCAATTATGATTATTCTTTCTCAATTGTCACACAATTTTTATCTGTGTTAAAAATAGAGCGTATTGTATACATACAATATAATGATTTTACTAGGAAGTACAGTTTTATATATTCTGATTATTTCTGTTTGTTCAATGTGCTTCTTGTATCATTAATATGTCACACTTTTGATGTCAAACCCGTTCCTTTTTCCTAAACCTTATTCTAAAGACCTTTACAGTTTCAATGTTTTCTAAATTTGTTTTTTAGCGTTATGTCTAAAATCGCTGAATACCGTTGTTGCATTGTTTGGAATATTGTTATAGTAAGGTAATTTATATATCTAAAATCAGATTAATTTTTATCTACCTCTATAACTAAGGATTGCCATTGCTGCTTTGGTACTTATTTCCGGGATTTGTGAAGGTAAAGAGAAACACAAAAATAAATGTTAAAAAAAACCAAACTCTCCGAAGAAAAGAATTTTTAAAGTATCTATGAAAATACGTTTTTTTGCTAATTCTTGAACAAGTCTTCCAATGAGAATTAATGACATCGTAGTATTGAAACAAACTGAACAGGGTTAACAGATATATGAGTAAGGCTGAAGACGCCATACATACAAGTCACAGAGAGAGCGACAAAATCATGCAATAAACTAAAAAAACAGAAACAGAGGCTTCATTAAATGATAAAGACTGAACAACACGAATCCTACCAACAAACCTAGGCGATCTTAGGTTCAGGTGTTCGGATTGGTAGACAGATCCTGCGCCACATGTGGCATCCATCGTGTTCTTCGTGCTAAATACTTTTTTGTGTTTTTTTTAAACACAATGTTGACTGCTGTACCCCAATTGTTTTACATTTTTACCTATTATGTCTGTTTGTTTTGCTTGCATATTGTTGTTGATATAATGGAATTTAATGCGATTGTTATACAAGTGAGAGGTTCAGTTAGCTATAAAACCAGGCTTAATACACCAGTCTCTACATAAGGAAATACCAGTACCAAGTCAGGAATATGACAGTTGTTTTCTATTCGTTTGATGTGTTTGAGCTTTTGAATTTGCCATTTGTGAAGGAACTTTCCGATTTTAATTTTCCTTGGATTTAGGTATTTTTGTGATTTTACTTCTTATACATAACACTGAAACATATTCGTAGTCCTCTATGAACGTATTTTCCATTACTAAACGGGCCTCGTTAATTAAACTTTTACAAAACATGTACTGAATTTTAATGTGCGTATTGTTATGCGTTTACTTTTCTACATTGGCTAGAGGTATAGGGGAGGGTTGAGATCTCATAAACATGTTGAACTCCGCCGCATTTTTGCGCCTGTCCCAAGTCAGGAGCCTCTAGCCTTTGTTAGTCTTGTATTAGTTTTAATTTTAGTTTCTTGTGTACAATTTGGAGTTTAGTATGGCGTTCATTATCACTGAACTAGTATATATATTTGTTTAGGGGCCAGCTGAAGGACGCCTCCGGGTGCGGGAATTTCTCGCTGCATTGAAGACCTGTTGGTGACCTTCTGCTGTTGTCTGTTCTATGGTCGGGTTGTTGTCTCTTTGACACATTCCCCATTTCCATTCTCAATTTTATCATCTAATACTGCAAATAATTCATGTTATCTATTGATAGCATTTTAAAAAAAGTTTAATGAGTTGACAAACTTTTACTCCTTTCTCGCGTCCGACAGAAATTCTAAAATTGAGTATAATTGTAGCTTTAGTGACCTTATAACTTCGACTTCCTCGGCCATTATTACAATTTGTATGTGCGAGAGATAACAGGTAAACAATTATTGTAATTGTTTGCGCTATTTCCAGTACATTAATAGATTCTACATAACATATAGTTTGGACACTGGAATGATTATGCTTATTATTACAAAATTCGTTTCAACTCCAACAGTCAAGATTGTCCTTAGTTAGAAAATTTATGTCCGTTTTGGTAATATATGGCTCCGCATGTATTGAAGAGCTGTTAATCCTAGGTTTTCCTTTTTTTGGTTTGGGCGTTCCTACAGATTGTCAATCAGGCGACCCAAATTTGTAAAGTGTTATTTTCGTTATGTTTGTCTTGTAGATCTTAGTCACAATTTTTTTTTCTTTGAGTGACGTCGTTATCAGTGGAAAGAACTATTTTTCTGTATTTACCTAAAGCTTTATGTCCCAAAAGATGATTGGTGAACATGATTACAAATAACTATGTGCTTTATTCTCTTGAACTTTAATGAGTTTTTGATTTTATCTATCATTATTATATTAGATTAATTTTGAATCTTTGAGGTACTTGTCTAATCACGGGTTTTTATGATAATTCAAATATTACTTTTATAATTCCCTTATGCGATATCAGTAGCCATTATTCACAAGACCACTACTCTTTGTATAGTTTGATATGGATGATGTGTTGATCCCTTAGCGAAAACTGCCTTTGTTCTAAAGTCACTTTCCGATGTATTGTGATAAGATAAATTTTCAGCAATGACTATGTCAACATTAAGTTCAGACGGAATTTTTGAATCTGTAAGTGTTTTTTTTATACGTCCCCGTATGAGAACGTTTAAAAACTGATATTCGTTCTTCAAAAAAAAATTATTTTGGACATTGGTATATATTTTTTGGATGTTCACAAAAAAGAGATCTGGACTCACAAGTGATATCGAATACTTGAAAAAAGTTGAACAAACACATATCTATGTTCCGTTTGTCTCGATATTATGTGGTGAGTACAGCTAAGTTCATGAGTGATTTTATGTAGGCCATAGAACTGAATAAGTAATTGGAAAAATATAAAAATATCGTCTAAAAATTAAGTGAAAAATCAAAAGATATGGGATGAGTGCCATAGAGACAACTATTCATCTGAGTTAAATGAAGTGGTAGTTAGAAATTATAGGTCACCATACGGCCTTCAACAATTAGAAAAACACATATCGTATAATCGGCTATGATAGGTCCGAGATGAAAAACAATTCATAATAGAAAACTAACGGCCTTAATTATAATAAAACAATCCACAAAAAATACAAATATGACAGACAATGAACCAACAACTAGTTGCATATATGTGAATATAAGCATACATTTTAAAACCATGCGGACATAGATATATGTAAGATCAACGTGTGATTTCTTATCGACGTACGTTCATCAATCACTGATTCCGATTTAACGTTTGTATCTTAAACCGCGGAAACAATTTGTGAAAAAAAAAGAAAATAACATTTGATCAATTTTTAGTTTTCATTGGAGTTTGGTACTTTTGTTATTTTACTTTTTTGTATGCGTCCGAAGTTCTTTTCTGGATTAACTTTCACCAGTGGCACTAAAAAAGATATAACAAAAGTAACGAACTCTAATGTTTATTATAAAAGGCGACATACTGTTAGAACGAATATTCGAGTGGACTATGAATGCACAACGGGTTTTCTGATTTGGCCACCAGCAGATTTGTGCGGTTTTCAAATTTAGCAAACCTAATCAGAGTACGACTCAGGACAGATCTGACCTCTGAATCCAAAGGCATTGTATTCAGTTGTGTCAATAATGCAATTATCTATTCATGATTTTTGATTAAGAATAATGTCACCGTTAATATAGTCCTTTTTTGCGTTCTGGTATTAGAAAGTCTTGTAATTTTTGCTCGATACTTAATCATGATGAATTTTGACTGAATCAATGTTTGTGTTGGTACATCACGAAACGACCAAATATTACATTACACAAGTGGCATGACAACATGTATTGCTACCGTTAGTCTAGAAGTATCTTGGTTGATTGTCTGGTAAAAAGATACCAAAGATACCAAAGGGACATTCAAAATGATGAGTCGAAAATAAACTGACAACGCCATGGCAAAACAAATAAAAAGACAAAAAAATAAATAACAATATACAATATACAAAGCACAGTATAGAAAACTAAAGACTGAGCAATACGAACCCCACCAAACACCAGTAGCAGTCTCATCGAAATATTCGTCCTATTTATTTTTATTCATACACACTGTATAACAATTAAAAAATGATATACATGTCAATGAGACAACCTCTAACAGAACATAACATAGCAGCTATAGGTCACCGTTCAGACACTGTGCATCTTTTAGCTAGCTTGATACATGAATACAATATAATATATGAAATGTAGGAGGTTTTATTAAATATATATAAAAGAGGGGTGAAAGATACCAGAGGGACAGTCAAACACATAGATCGAAAATAAACTGACAACGCCAATATTTGAAAAAACAACATGGATTAATTCTAATCTGTGCCACTATTATTATCCATATTGAAAAATTATTAATATATGTCATGTAATTGTAAACTCTTGTTACATTTGAAACTGTCGTTTTTGACTATTCAGGTGTCAATATTTGCGGACGCCCAATATGATGAAAGATATCGGAGGAAGAAACATGCATAAATAAAAAGATGTTGGTTACATTGATGTTTATAAATGAAAAGGCAGATATATATCATTCATCTATCTAATAGTCAGATCAAACAAAACTATATTAGGTATGTTAATTTCATTTAGAAAAAATGCCATAAGTAGGGATGATTTATTTAGGGTCCTCAAGTGTTAATACCTTGAGTTAACAATTTCTTTAGGAATCAACTGTACCTTTGTGAAAGTCCATGACTTAAAGTGCAAATACAAACTTTATGGTCGGCATTTCGAGCCATTAAATACACCAAGGAAACCACAAGACAAACTGTATTGTTTCCTTTTTTCAGGTGGGTGAATCGTTAACCCAGAAAATCGAAAAAAAGTAACAGCTGAATATACAACAAAAAATATGTGGTATGATTTCCAATGAAAGAGACACCTCTGCCGTATTTGATTTGTCCGCGATCTCGTCTGGCGATGTTATTATCGATGTTAACATTTCGAAGGGGTATTAAAGTAGTTTTCTAGTTTAAATGAAATGTTATTAATAAATATATGTATTTACCCAAGGTGATGACTATTTTAGAAAATGCTGTGACGGAAAAATGATGAAAGGACCCCTCATTCCTGGAGGTTTTTCAATTTTCATTGATTTATACGTACAATGCAGTTAATCCTCATCATAAGTTACGCTTATCATCTTTAACTTCAATAGATGATAATAATCAAAACTGAACGAAAAGAACATTCTGAAGAACAAACTCATTTTTCAAAATTTGAAGATTTCCCAGGTCATTTCACATACATTGTCTTTATTCTAACAATAACACATTGTATTTGCTTCTCCTCGTTATTTACATCAGATTAGACCAATTTGCTCTTTTACACCCATCACATTCCTGAGTAGCTTTGACTTCAAATGAAGCATCTTCCTATCAATAATTGGTGTAAACTGCATGCAGTATTTCCACTTGCGCTCATGTGGACATGTTCTATAATGATGCAAAACAACATTGTGGGATCTAAGTATTATTCTGAAAAACATATGGTTAAAATGATGAGGATAACAACAAATATATTATGTTTTCGATACATTATAGCTGCATCATCCTGTATTGTAATCGTTGACGTTTTTATTTTAAAAAAGCTACTCAAATACATGTGTTCAACTAATATCCAATATCAGTTTGTTGTTAAAATGAAATAGTGATTTACTCTCGTGGTACAATGCTTGTGTCGGACTTTGTTGTTTTGATCCAAAGGTTTTCTGATTCTACTGCAAGTTCTTGTCTTTCAGTTGCACAATACCTTTTCAGTTCGTAGTCAGGACCATTAATCCTTTTGTAGATGAGATATTGTGTGCAAAAAAATAAATATTTGTGTGTCTATATTGCACAGTCTTAGAGTTATAACACTTCCCATTAACACCATACATCATTATATAATACAACATAAATCATAAAATAATAATACCATAACACCATACGAATACCTGAGAACACTATTTTACCGTACGCTAGTACCCATACACCATACAACATTCCAGTTTTCTCATTAACAGTTGAATTATGTGCGAAAGAAATAACTGAAAATTATCCACAATACAAGGTATTTAAGATAATTGCAATATATCCAATAAACAACTTTATAAAATTTATTGACGTGCATTATATAAGACGTCATAAAAAATAGTGATTAAAAATGTATATTGCAGACAAATATTCAAAGCATTGTCAGTATCATTAAGTTGTATCTATCAAAAGAAAAAGAACTGAAAATTGCGTAACCGAAATCAGTTAAAATTGTGCTAACACTCAGAAATAGTCCTACCAAAGGTCGGTATTTCTTTTCAGGCACATCGGCTTCCTCTACCAAAATCAAACTGACTGCCACGAAATAGACAATAGTGCTGAAATGGCGTTAAACCCTAATAAATCAATAAATCAATCACACAGAAGCTACTTAGAAAGAATGAAAATAAGCTAGTATTATCCTTTAACTTCACTTTCCGCTACATAGATGATGTCCTCTCACTAAATAATTCAAAGTTTGGTGACTATGTTGAACGCATCAATCCCATCGAACTTGCAATACAAGAAAAAACAGATACAGTTAAGTAAGCTTCATATCTTGACATAAATCTAGAAAGTGATCTTGAAAAAAAAAAGATTTTTTTTTGGACGCATGAAATTTATGACGTGTTGTTTTTATCTTTTACAGCACTGATTCGATACCTCTGCTGGTAGACTATCAGTCCCCGAGGGTATCATCAGCTCAGTAGTCAGTAATTCGGTACTGACATGATTTGTAACAAACTATCTAAAATTGCCCGTTGATGTATGTTGAAATTATACAGAAATTAAAGTTTCAAATCCTGAGGCAAAGTTGGCCTCAGATGGATTTGGCTATTTATTTATGTCCTTTTTGGTATATAGCTCTTCAACGTTTTCGGTCCTTATACATCCTTGGCTTTCAAATATTCGGCTTTGAGCGTTACTAATGAAGGTAAATCCAGAAAAGCGCTTCTGACGTGTTGTTTTTTTTTTTTAAATTTTTTATCCATTGTGTCTCCAACTTAGAATATTGTGTTGATGTCTTTTCAAAATTAAAGCCTTTTCTTGATTAAAAGGTATTGTAAGTGAGGTTGAATAACCATGTTATCTTGTTCAATGATGTATTAATAAATCAAAGTTCACAATTAATTGGTTAGAGAAATACACGACTTTAAATAATTATGCATCTGAATATTATCCGTAATTTACAAAGTAAGGCATATTCCAACTTATTTCTAAATATATATAATAAGTATGTTACAGAAATTTCTAGCAAGGAACCTAATTCTAGGCACATCACGATTTACTCGCATAGGGATTTGCGAATAAGTATTTGTAAAGATTTGTAGTAAAACAGATGAAATCATACTATATTTATAAAACAAAAATGGACAAATTGTGTGTAATCATTTTCTTTTCAAATACGTGAAATAGCCAATAATAATCTAAAACAATAAACGGGAAAAACGGCTATAACTAGAAAAAATAACCACAACAAAGAGAACACAGGGATTCGAACCTAAACCGACAAGTCTCTACTTCTAACTTGACTCGATAACTCATTGATCTTATCCTAGCGACTACCAACTTATACTATACGATCGTATATATATATATACAAAAAGCTACAAGTCCTTTGTGTCCGTTGTACCAATGTGTATCATATGTTCATTCATGACATCTAAAATGCAACCCATCGAGAGGTTTCGTCGATGTGTTGATGTCAATCACACATAACATATTTCAAGGAGGGGTTCGATTCCAAGTGAAGGCATATAAAAATTACAAAAGTTAAAGGTAAGGTTTTGAATTTATTCCATTAGTGAACAGAAATCAGTGAATTAACCAATTCAAACTTAATGAAATTAGGCACACAAAGAAAACAATTGAATATAATTTGGTGAGTCTATTTCAGCGACAGATTTATTCTAGAAAAAGAAACCACGTTAAATGAATAGGCTGACGTCATGGCAATAGTTTAACATGAATTCCTTGATAGAGAGTTGTTGCTTAAGAAAGGGTTTAAACCAAAAGTTCCAAGCGGTGAAGTTGAAATCATCCCTTAAATTTCACGGACGAAATCACGAGTTGTTTGATTTTTATGGAATATCAGTTTCATAGAAGACGATGAATATGTTCCAATTGTCGTAACCACAATCCTGTTCTCTTGTTCTCGAAAGTGACCTACCAATTTAGACTTATCACTGGGTTCGCACTTACATAAGCAATACGAGGGGTGCAACAAGTGGAACAGCTTACTCTTCATCACCCCCGGTTTTGACGGGGTTCTCGGTCCTTAGTTTTCTATGTTGTATTTTGTATACTATTTTTGGTCTTCTGATCGTTTTTCGTTTTTTGCCATGTCATTTTCTGTTCGTTTTTGACTTATGAATTTGAATATCCTAGTGTTCTTTTTGTCTCTCTTCTACTACGACGATGTTTCGCACTAGTAATCAATCTTTCTTTGTGTAATTGACTTTGTGAAAAGATTAATGTTCTACCGAAGAAAATACTGATAGCTTAGACACAAGAGAAAATATGAGAACGACGGTATAGTATACCATCGAAAGTAAAACAGAGACAGACATTGTATTATGACAGAGAAGTAGAGACAAAAACAGAAAACGTTAGTCCTGTTAGAGTCCTAAGTCAAGTTGCGGACACAAGAAATTTATAAAGTGTTGTTTTCACTTTTTTAGATGGAAGGGCATTTTAATATGCTGACGTTATGTCATAAAGGGATAGACAACAATATAGATAATGGAATTCCAACAGATATTGAAGCGTGCTTAACGTAATTTTAGTCTTAATGGATATAAAAGTGTGAACGACAGTAAGATGACAACATTTATTACTTCTGTTTTTCAAAAGAAAGCAGATGTTATGGAACAACGGCAACATACTAAGGAAAACATGATCTCATGTTTTACGACAAGTTTTGTGTTTTAATTACACGAAGCGCCACACACATTAACGTGTACAAATCTTCTAGTTGTAAAAAATTGCATGCTTTGGCACCAATTGCGTTTATTGTCATAACAACAGACAAAATAATTGGTTTTTACTGATTTGACTGATTTGACTGATGAAAATTTATTCTATATACTTGTATATTTATTGCTGGTGACTTCGAAGTTCTATGCATTTTACGAAATCTTGTACATCTAGTTTTATTGCTAAAAATATATTCCTATCCCTCCTGTATCAGTTTTAATATTTTGATTAAATGAAAAAAAAACCCGACATTATGAAACAAGTTTATCGTGTATCATTGATCAAATAAATGTGGTCTGTTTTCGTTAAAGGACAAATTTCCAAATTTCAGTAAATATTTTCAGTCTCTGTAAGATGTTAGACAGAAATAATTAACATTACGTAAAATGGTTTTGATGATCTACTATATGAAACATACCTTTCGTATCCAGGTTTTGGTTGGACTTCATGTGTGTTCACATGTTGTGTTCTTTGTGGAATGTACATATTTTTATAACGCTCATATCGAGGTGTTGTTCTTCGTATGTATCGACTTGTAAGTAGGTGATCTACTCCGGAAACTCCCCAGTCTGTTATGAAGAAAGATACATTGAATGTAAATGCTGCAGCCTGCGGATACAATGGTAATAATTCCGACTGAAAGAAAGAAAATATCAAAAAGTGCAATTCTTTAACTAAATACGAATTATATTATATACCGATATTCAAACCCCACTTCTTTGGTAATTTTGCCAATATAACGGAATTATAAAGAACTGTCTTTCAACTGGGAGGTGTAGCTAGATATAAAACCAGGTTTAACCCAACATTTTCATCTATTTGGAAATTACCTTTCCGGAATATTACAGTTGTTTTTCACTCATTCCGTTGATTGATAATGTTTGATTTTCTCAGTTTTTATGGACGTCCCTGTTTTGAATTTACCTTGGAGTTTGGATTTTGTATTATACTTTTTTGGGGACGTTTCTCCCTCGAATATCACTTGTCCTCTAGTCAGAACTTCTGTGTTGACCCGAATTATCATTGATCTGTTAATTGCCTGTTAATATTCTATTTGAAAACAATACCCGAGAAAAAAATATCCATACTCTAATTGACACTTGTTTTCTGAATAACATTTGTTTAAGTTTCTTCAATATTTTTTGGTGTTCTAACTGTTTTTATTCGAGGTTCACCTGTGATTCTGATGTAAACAAAAAACCCGTCTGAATACCAAATTATAAGCTAGGTATTTGTTATGCAAGTAGATCATTTAATATTACATATTAATAAGATAATAATTGTTTTAAATTACACCGGCCCGTTGGGCCTATAAGTCACTTTAAACTTTATGTTCATATTTGCAAGAAGGAATGTGAGATTGTTACTTGTAAAGAAATTCATTCCTTTAGCAGAGCAATACAATATTAAAACGTAGGTGCCTATATAACATAGATGTTACAGGTAGTGATAAAAAAGATGTAGAAACAGTGTCAAAAAGACAACTCTAACCTGGGACAATGGCGTTAGATAAAACAACGTACACAGGTTATTTCAAAAATAATAATTTTGTTGTTAGGAGTACGGAAGTAAACATTTTGTATAAAATTAATAAATTTGTTGTTCAGAGTATGAGTACAGAAGTGGAAATTTATCGTCATACTAAATACTTATCACAGTTGGTACATATTAGAAATAGTGAGACGAGATATAACACAAACTAAGTCAACATTGAATTACAGAAATGCATTACAAATTGTGTCAATAGGTCAAATTAACACGAAACACCCCAAAAAAAAAACAAAAAAAAAAAACAATGAAGCAAATGAGAGCAGTGATACCGTGATGCCTATCATAATTGTGTCCAATTAAAAACATACAACACAACAGTCAAACATCAACACGACGAAAAAACTAACATAACATTACACATAAAAAACTAAATATTTAGCAACACACACCCAACAAATCACAAGGGTGAACTCAGGTGCTCCAGAAGGCCAACAGATCCTCTGTCAGATGCGACAACCGTCATGTTCCTATTGTGTCGGTATACTGCATAGGCATGCTACAATGATAGACGGACATGTGTCTACTCTAACCCTACAACATAGCAAAATTAATTTCCATGGCGAAAAATAAACAGAATCTCCACAGGTAGAGACAACACGTACGAAAACAAAGGCAAATCCAGCACACCAGGCTTTTTGTGATGCTTACGCTATTCAAAGGCTGTATATTTTACAAAAATTGACTACTTTGTGCCATTAAAACAGTTATTTAACCTTTTTAGAAGCTTATTTACATACCTTTAGCATGGCTTTGTATGATATAAATTTGTCTTGCACAATGAATTCGTCAAAATCGATGATTGCTACTAGTTCATAGCCTTGTAAATAAGCCTGGCATGTATAAACAGCAACCTGTTCATCATGACCGCTTTGTTCAATATGCCAATTAGTTGATTCAAATCCACGATCTGAAATGATTATTACGAAATTAGCATGTTTTGTATGTCCAAATGAGATACCAGCCATACGACACACATATGAAACGTTCATATAAAGAACAGCATACAGTTTTAGCAGCGGTAGACTGCTGATAATAAAGAATAAAAAAACTTTCTATCCGCCTCATTTAAAAAAAATCTAGGCAAAGCAGATGGAATGATATGATTCGATATTACTACCTTGAAATTGCTTAATTAGTCAACTTAAAAAAGTCTATCCAAATTATGTTAATATAGTAATAAAATATCAGGTTGTTATAATCAATAGACTTTAGAGGTGAAAGGTCACAGCTCATGTCATAATGCTGTCATAAAATTTTGTAACCAAATAGATTTGAGTCAAATCCTAACTCCAAAAAGGGTTTACACATATCTAAGTTTTTGTAATATACATTGTGTAGCAAAAAATATTTATTGGTTAAGTCTTGGAAGATTCAACCCTTACTGAATGACAATCTTACCGAGATATGGGGACAATTATAAAGAAATAAATACTTCGCATTCCCCGTACCTTAATGTTTCTATGTTTGCTGGACTACCAATCTACTACTAGTTTTCTCTGATTCGTCCGAAAAGCAAAAAAAAAAAAATAAAAAAAAAAATTTAGGCATATTTCCGCGCTACCACTAAAAAAGTCGTTCACCGAGTCTTGGTTTTGTTATAGGAAGGGGAAATCTGAACCAACAACTGGTCACACAATTGCATATGAAAATGTAAGAAAATACAGACAGTGACGTGACCTCTAGTGACATCAGTATTGAACAAAGAGGATTCTTAACTAAAGTTGTGAACAGTGTAGAACGAAGCAAGAGGTTTGACATTGCAAGTTCACGGAATTACGATATAACAAGCCATAATCCAGCAGATTATAGCGATTCGATCATTGGAAGCGGACGAGTGTAGCGAGTGGAAGCTGAGATCAAAACAACTCCATAACACAGGAAGGTACTTGTGAAAACGAATAGCAGATTAGTAATCCAGATGAAAACCAAAGACATATTTGTCACAGTATAGATGTAATCTATCAATACTTAACCTTAACTATATTTTTGTGAGAAAAATCCAAAGATTCTAAAAAATAGGTTAGACAATCATTTATTTGGAATAACGATTTAATACCAGGTTAATTAACCACAATCTTGATTTTCCGAAGATAAGTGGCTTAGTTCCGATTTATTTGTAAATAGAACTGGATTTTGTGGTAACACATAGAAAATATTTCTAAAATTACATATTGCCAAATAAAAAGATTTAGATTTACATATATTTTGACCATTGCTTTTTACATAAAGTTAACCTAACCATAAAGTATCATGTCTTCAGATATAAAAAAAACTCAGTTAAACTATAGAATGGACTTTCACCAAATTTTTTGGTTCAAACTTGAAAAATAAATGAATTAATTTTGTGGGAAATACTTTATTTTTATTTTTTATAAGAATATTTTAAAAGCAAAATTTAGAACAAAATAAAAAAAATCACGTTTTAAATGTCATGCGTCCGGAGTGCTTTTCTGGATTTACCTCCATCAGGACTGTTCAAAGCAGAAAATGTAACAGCCAATGATGTATAAGAACCGAAACAGTTGAAGAGCTGTTTGACTTGATGAAAAGACATAAGAAAATTGTCAAATCCATATAAGGTTAACTTTGATAGAGGAAGTTGAAACCTTTGTTTCCTTATAATTTCAAAATTTACAAACGGACAAATTTAGAAAGATCTGTTGTAACAAAGTTCTGACTACTGAGCTGATAATACCCTCGGGAACTGGTAGTCCACCAGAAGAGGTATCGACTCAATCCTGTAAGAAATGAAAACAACACGTCATGAGCTTCATGCGTCCGCACATAGCAACTGTTATTTCCCTGTTCAAGCGATTGACAATCATTTTTGGAGCTGCACCATGTAGATTTCTTGAAACAGAATAACCATTCGAGTGAGTTTCAAAAGAGAACTGAAGCATATTTCCGACCTTTTGACAGAACTGTTGCCAATTTTTCATTGCATTTAGAATTAAGCTGGAATGCCGTTAAATATCTACGATTGTTGTAAGTATTTCTCTACAAAATATGAGGCGACATTTAAGGAAAACCATACTAAGCAATATTGTATCCAAGCTAAGGAAGGTAAGAGAGGGAAAAGATGCCAAAGGAACATTCAAACTCATAAGTCGAAAGTAAACTAAATAAACCGACAAAGCTATGGCAAAAAAAGAAAAGGATCAAAACGCAACATAGAAAACATATACTTTTACGTATTTTTTTTCAAAATTCAAACTGATAAACTGTTGCTGATATTTGTGAATAACTATCAGAGATTGTTAATTAAACCAAAAAGGGCTACTTTATTGGCAAACATACCAATTCTAGAAAATGTAAAGAAAATTAAAAAATATCCAAATTATGAGCACTATTTTCCTAAAAAAAAAACAAGCACGATAACATGTGTAAAAGATAAGCACGGAAATGTCCCAATTGTCGATACAACAATCCTGTCATTTTTTCATGATGTTAAAATCATCGAATGAGACTAGTCACCTGTACTTGCATTAACAACACGACTGGTGCCTAATGTGAAACACGAAGTGCTTACCGTTTCCGAGCACCTGAGTTCATCCCGGTGTTAAGAAAGTTTCTGTTGCTCAATATTTCGTTTCCAATGTTATGTTAATGCAAAGTATCTTTCGTCTCTCTAGATTTATAGGTTTTTACAAATCATATGTTAATCTACAACATATCTCAAAATTAACAAAAAATGACAATACAATTAAAAAAGGTATCGACTCCCTCAATCCTGCAAGATTTTATACTTTTAAAAAGGCTTTTTGATCATCGTGTTGGTGTTTTCGACTGAACTTGTATCTGTCAATTTTCGTTCATCAATATCAAAAATACATATATTTGGTAATTGTTAAGTATTAAATATAGAGGAATGTTTTAAAGATTTCAACAAACAAACTTTGAGATCAATTATGATATAATTCAATAAATATTTGAGTATCCCTGAATTTTTACAGACTCAACTTAAGCTTGTGAAATCCATATATGACTTTTTTTAATATTCTACCGTGTCAGATGAAGCTCATGTGACCACAGTTTTTCATTAAAATCATTGCGTATGAAACTGAGAACAAAAATTTAGAAAATGTTCCTCAAACGGTATTTATGTTTTAACCTATGGAAGTACTCAGCAATCAAATTTTTTTTTGTTATTACGAGAATTTTGAGACTACATGCACTATGTATTTTTTCTTGGACATACGGACCATAAGTGACTGTCTTTGGTATAAAATTATATGTGGTCCTATAGCATGAATGAGGACGTTTGGTAACCACATCAACGATAAAGATGGCAGATATATCAACGACGAAAACGTTGTGTTGCTAAAGGACAAAACCCTGTGTCTTACCAAGTTCCCAGTGAGTCTTATGTTGAATTTGTTTAACAGTTCCGATTACATGTACGTCCACTAACCGGAAGAACAAACATTTAGAAATTGAAGCGATCACAAACATATAGCAACTGCATATTTGATTCTCCTCATAGGAAACAATTGTAAATAATAAGGTGTAAGTTTTAGAATTAGATATTCAATAGACATCAGACGGAAATTAAACTAACACAATCAACTGATTGTTAATGTGTTCATAAATTTTCAGGTACCATTTTACAGAACATCTAAACGACTTTACACTATTTTTGAGACTGTGATTCTTGATTTGTCTGAACATAAGTAAACCACGCTACCAAAGGGGGCACAGAACACCCAAAGGTGTTAACTCTTTAAAAATCAGCGGAACGTTTTAATCACCTAATAAGAGAAATCAAGCTCCTCAATGATCAAAATAAGTGTTTGTAAAATTGTGTGGTTCAAATTACTTGATTTTTAAAAACGTTTTTGTCAATAGATCAAAGTTAATATTTTGTAAAAAATTTAAGAAAATTAAACGAGCCAAATCTATATTAGTCAAAGTGTTGGGTCTCTCCTTTATTCCTAGGAAAATTGTGAAAACGCACCTTCAATTACATTTGAATTGATTATAAATTATGATGTTTCACCTGTCTGGATTGAACGATATTTTTTAGTTTCATTTTCATTTTACCTATGAATATTACTGTAATAATTCTTATAGGATTACAATTATAACTTCAATAACAAGTTGTTCCATCTATATTCCCCGAAATTGCGATTGTAGGCTTCTGGTTATAAGTATTGCCCAGGCATATGCCACATTTATCTGCATATAGAAGTTGTATAAAATTGAGAATGGAAATGGGGAATGTGTCAAAGAGACAACAACCCGACCATAGAACAGACAACAGCAGAAGGTCACCAACAGTTCTTCAATGCAGCGAGAAATTCCCGCACCCGGAGGCGTCCTTCAGCTGGCCCCTAAACAAATATATATACTAGTTCAGTGATAATGAACGCCATACTAAACTCCAAATTGTACACAAGAAACTAAAATTAAAAATAATACAAGACTAACAAAGGCTAGAGGCTCCTGCCTTGGGACAGGCGCAAAAATGCGGCGGGGTTAAACATGTTTATGAGATCTCAACCCTCCCCCTATACCTCTAACCAATGTAGAAAAGTAAACGCATAACAATACGCACATTAAAATTCAGTTCAAGAGAAGTCCGAGTCTGATGTCAGAAGATGTAACCAAAGAAAATAAACAAAATGACAATAATACATAAATAACAACAGACTACTAGCAGTTAACTGACATGCCAGCTCCAGACTTCAATTAAACTGATTGAAAGATTATGTCTTCATCATATGAATATCAGGCACAATCCTTCCCGTTAGGGGTATAGTATCATACCATCATAACATATATGAGAAGAACATAACCCGTGTCATGCCAACAACTGGTTTTTAAATAAATGTGTTTAGTGCCGATGCAAAGACCCTATAAGTGAATCAATATTAACGCCAAAATATGCAATCTTTAATGACCTGACAACAGTATCGTAACTATATCCCTTCTTAATAAGTCTATTTAAAGGTTTTGTTAGCTTCAGAGGTGAATACTGACATTTTTGTGCTTTATAAAGAATATTTCCATAAAAAATTGGATGTGAAATACCTGAACGTATAAGAAGTCTCAAGTTGAGCTATATTTACGAATGATGTCCTTATACCGATGATAAAATTTAGTAAATGTTTTGACTAGTTTGTGATATCGAAAACCCTGGTGTAATAATTTTTCAGTAATACATAAATTTCTCTCGTTAAAATCGAAAACATTGTTACATACACGAGCGAATCGTACAAGTTGAGATATATAAACACCGTAAGATGGTGACAAGGGAACGTCACCATCTAAAAATGGATAATTAACGATAGGAAATGAAAAATCATCTCTTTTATCATATATTTTAGTATTAAGCTTTCCGTTAATGATATAGATATCAAGATCGAGGAAAGGGCAGTGGTCATTGTTAGTATTAGATTTATTTAAAGTAAGTTCAACAGGATAAATTTCTTTAGTATACATACTGAAGTCGTCATTATTGAGAGCCAAAATATCATCCAAATATCTAAAAGTATTATTAAATTTGTGTATCAGATGTTGTTTCGATGGGTCTTTGCTGATTTTTGTCATAAATTGTAACTCATAGCAATACAAAAAAAGGTCCGGAATAAGTGGTGCACAGTTAGTCCCCATTGGAATTCCGATAACCTGACGATATACGGAATCTCCAAAGCGAACAAAAATGTTATCTGATAAAAATTCAAGGGCATATATAGTATCAAAGCATGTCCAATTGACATATTTTTTTGTTTATTGCTACTAAAAAATGACCTAAAAGAGTTTGAACATATGAATGAACATTAGTATTGTTTTGAATTAAATGCTAGTAGATTTATCATGAATGTATTTCTTTTTCTTTTTTTTGGACTAAAATCCAGTCATTATCAAATTAGAAAATCCCGGTTACATATAAAAATAAGAAGATGTGGTATAATTGCAAGCAAGCCAACTCTCACAAGAGACCAAATGACACTGAAATTAACAACTATGTGTCACCGTACGGCCTTTAACAATGAGCAAAACCCATACCGCATAGTCAGCTATAAAAGGCCCCGAAATGATAAATGCAAAACAATTAAAACGAGAAAACTTACAGTTTAATTTATGTACAAAATAATGAACGTGAAACAAACGACAACCAATGAATTACAGGCTCCAGAATTAGGACAGGCACATACATAAAGTGGCGGGGTTAAACATGTTAGCAAGCGCCCAAACCTCCTCCAACCTGGGACAGTGATGTAACAGTACAACATAAGAACAAACTATAAAAATCAGTTGAAAAAAGCTTAACTCATCAGATGGATACAAACAGAAATACATATAACAAAAACACAGAGTTGACCTGTGTAGTGATATTTGACACGTTTCTATGATAAACAAGTGACTGAGCTTAATTATTTGTGTTAATTTAGAAAGTAGGGGAACATAGAATAAATGTGTTAAAACTATGGAGCTATTAAATGTGTTCAAAGTATTAAATTTTCAAAGGACTTATTGTCTTAAAAAAGGGATTTTTTACCACGAGGAGCCGCATCACGAAAGAATTCTCGGGGTTTGCTAATTTACGGAAAAAGTAATCTCACTTCGTACCCCGAAAATTTAACCACATATGTAAAAATGTCACAGCTTCGAAATGAGCTATCATACATATCCAAGTTTACGATATGGACTGGGCTACAGGAAAAAACGTTACCATTACCGCCTATGTAAAAACAATTAAAGATATTGACCCAACTACAGAATAAAAACGAATACGTAAAACAACCTAAATCAGCACATAAAAAAAGACACAGCCGAACAACATATTATATGTTAGCCGAAGACTAGAGTTCAAGAATAGGTTTGTAATACTGATATGACATGTATTAATAACAATGAAAATTACAATACTTATTAATATACAATTGTGGTAGTAATTAGATAATTAATTGTATTATCAAGCTATGTCGGTATTTCTTTTAAATCAAACTGTATAAATTTAGTTGACCCAAACTAAAATCTTATAAATGAACTGGGTGATTAATTATCTTCACCGTAACACAAGAATTGAACAGACAAAAATAAGATTTACAACTACAAACGATAAGACATTTGACAAAATCCGACGAGAATAACAAATATAACATAAAAACTAAATACATGGATTTTGGATAAAAAAATACCGTGACACGTCTTATAGCTATGCCAATTCACACTCAGCAAAACAGTCACAATCAAGAATAAGTCACGTTCGGTACTTAAAAGATCAGACGACGTAATGGCAAACCACAATCTAACACGTGGTAAAAATGTCCTTATTTAGTTTGGACAAAGACACATCGTATGAATCAACCAATTCGTGATGGTGTCCATAAAATTTACGGAGTGTCATTTTTAATCTGTCCTCCTCATAACTTTGTTGGAGCAGTTTCTGCTTTAGGAGCACACTCCTGTATATGAAGTCCGTATAGTGTGAACATGCACGAGCATAACGTATCAACTGAGAAATGTAAACTCCATACGAAGGGGCAGCGGGCATGTTACCGCTGAGAAATGGGAAATTGATAATTGGGAAGTTGAAATCGTCCGGTTTATCATAGATTTTCGTGTGAAGTCGTCCATCTGTGTCAATATTGAGGAAATGATCATGGTATGAAGCAGTCCTTCTAGTATCAGTAGTATCCTTAATTTCAAGTTCACTGGGATATATGAGATGTAAGTATTGGCTGAAATATGGGTCACAACAGACACGGGCATAGCATAGCGAACAAGTTGTGATACATAAACACCGTAAGATGGTGCCAAAGGAACATCATCGTCCAAAAAAGGAAAATTAACATTAGAGAACGAAAAATCGTCCTTTTTGTCGTAATTTTTAGAGTAGAGTTTCCCGTGTAAAACTGAAATATCTAAATCTAAGAAAAAGGAGTTATTACCGTTTATATTTGATTTATCTAAAGTAAGTTCCTTTGGGTAAATTTCGGCAGTACATTTAGAAAGTTCTGGTGGCCTTGGGCTGTTATCTGCTCCTTGGTCGGGTTATTGTCTCTTTGACACATTCCACAGTTCCATTCTCAATTTTATTGATTATTTAACGAAAATATATCATTACGATAACGGTAAGTGTTGTTGAATTTATCAATTAAATGCAATTTAGATGGGTCTTTACTGAGTTTGGTCATAAACTGTGATTCATAACAGTACAAGAACAAGTCTGCTATTAAGGGGGCGCAATTGGTGCCCATAGGAATACCTACAACCTGTCGATTAACTTTATTGCCGAAACGTACATAAATGTTATCAAGGAGAAAAATCTCATCACACCTCCAGTAAGTATATCTAGCATATTTACTTTTCTCATTAGAGAAGAAGGCTTTAAATGAGTTAGTTCCACTATTTTCATTTATTTTATTACAAAAGTTAATGATAAGTTCTTTCATAGTAGTTAAGGAACAAGTTAAAAGCACTGAAATACTAGTTGTAGAACACTTACTAGAGGCCAAAATAAAACAATATTTGACTGTTTTTTTGTGTAGTTTAGGTTACCAATACATAGTAGGGACCTTCAAATGTTCAGAAGAGGCCTTAAGCTGTGATGTGGTTATGATATGATTGTTAACTATATGACTCTCTGTGGAGCGCATGAACTTGAATGTAGAAGAATTTAAAATTTCATTCTAAAGAACGTCCGTGTAGTATTTACGGCATACCACCAACACATTGTTGGCTGCTTTTTCGGCCGGTACAAACACAAACCGCTTTGAAAGTACTTGAAGTTTATTTTCTATTCTAGAAATAGGCGTATTATGTACTCTTTTATTTATTTCTGAATAATTTCAAAATGTGATATTCGAATACATTTACTTAGATAAGAATCAAGAGACTTTTTATCAGATGTTTCCCGTTTACACCAATTTTTACTATATGATGAAAAAGTGTCTTTCCATCTTTATTTGCACTTAAAAACTGTGGATTGAAATACAAGCAAGTGCAAAACAGTAATGCATCTTGTAATATGTTTGTTTTCATTTAATGTCTAAAACAAACGTACAGAAGGTAGAAAAGCATCCTATGATTCCACAATGCCAATGAATGACTACAGATAAAGATTTTTTGTTGTAGCGGCAAACCTTAATATTCATATAGAAGATTATGCTATTACCTGGGAAAATATATTTGGATTATTAATATAAAAAATGAGCTCACTGGTATGTCATAATATTCAAATTCTGCAATAGAGTCAGTACATAAGGGGATATATATTTTCCCTTAAATATAGACAGACATATATTTATATATATATACATATATAATTTGTAATACCTGGTTTTCCTGGTAGCACTCTTGGATATGGCAACATTTTTAATAAACCCATTTGTTGATAGTACCTAAACACTTTGAATGCTTCGTCATTTATATATTGCAACATAACGACAACAGTATCTACATCCATCATTATCTGGTATTCAAACCATTCAATTAGATTTGTAGGATTGAGATGATCAAAAGCAATTTTCGCACACACTCCTGCACCATGTTCCATAACTATAGGATAAATGACAGACGTGACTGAAATACATGGATCGCAAGGGTTCCCATTCTCAACCAGTCCTATGTGTACTGGCTTGAATTTAATGTTCTTTACCGGGCACTGGTATTGCTTAGCCGGTAGTCCAGGATTCATCAATCTATGCGTAAAGCTGTCTTTGACTGTTGCCTTTGATCGATGCGTACTTGATTTGTTTTCACTAAATATACAGCATTCGAAAATTGATTGGAAAGTAGAACCATCAAGAACATTAATCACAATATATTCAACTGATGTCCATTCTAATTTAGCTTCAGCTATTGAGTTGAAGAGATACACAGTTTCAAATAAAGTGTCAGAAGGACAGTATTCGTCATGCTGCAAAAGGAAGAACTTATTTCATTTGTAATTGCATAGTGAAAAAAATCAAGAACAAAAACTAAAGCAAAAAATGGACTATAACAAAATAGAATAAAATGAAATACAAACACGTGTATGCAGAACTTGTTTCCTTTGCTCATTGTATTACAGGTTGAACTGTATAGATACATTTATTAGCAGCCGCAAAATATTAAAGAGTTTTCGTGCGTTGTTTTTAAGATAAATCATGACATTGGTTTTATTTTTTGAATTATTCCTTTTTTTCCATACTAGGGCCCTCTATAGATGATTACGAAAACGGTTTACTCATTGTTTAGCACAGTGTTGAGGACCATAATTGTTAACAACCTTATCTGTTGTTGTATGCTATATAGGTTTGGCAATTGAATCAAATACTGTAAATTCAGAAATAATTGCGGTGTTTTTATTAATGCGAATAATGCGACTGCATGAGTATAGCAATAATAAGAACTCGCACACTGATATCTGATGTATATATCTGTATGCAACTTTTCCTGAAATCGCAATAATTAATCTTGCATTAATTTCCATTCTGAAAAAATCGCAATGATAAATCCACGCAATAATTTCTGAATTTACAGTGTCCTTTCGTCTATATGTGTTGCGTAAAACATGTTCAATACTCTTAATTACGTTTTTTTGTGCTCTTTTTATATGTCTATGTATCTTTTAATTTTTACTGTTCAGTTCATTTTTGGTAATATCCGTTTGGTGTTGCTCGCTATTAACACATCCCGCCAATGTGTTATTGTGCTTTGGTAATTTTTTGTGTTCTTGTCTCTCATTTTTGCGTATGTGCTTAATTTGTCTATAGAGTATCTTTATGCCATTTTGTTTTTCTTTGTTGACATAGCTGTTTTTTTTATAGTGATTAAAATTGTAACACAATGTTGACTGCTGTATTCCAACTTTTAACATTTTTACCTTTTATGTCTGTTTGTTTTGCTCACATCATTGTCAATCCAATGGAATTCTATGAAACTGTCATACAAGTGAGAGGTTTAACTAGCTATAAAACAAGGTTTAATCCACCATTTTCTACACAAGGAAATGTCTGTACCAAGTCAGGAATATGACAGTTGTTTTCCATTTATTTGATGTGTTTGAGCTTTTGATTTTGCCATTTGATAAGGAACTGTTCGTTTTGAATTTCCTTGGAATTCGTCTTTTTTTATTATTTTACTTTTTTCAAAACAGATCTTCCCTTTCAGGTGTTGAGGTGACGCATTTGCACCTACATAATCGTCACAACGGGTACCACAGTTAGAACAGAACCTGCCTACCCTTCCGGAACACCTGAGATCTCCCTTGGTGTTTGTCTTATGGTCGTAATTGTTCTTTGTCATGGCATTGTCAGTAATGTTTTGACTTATCAGGTTGACTGTTCCTTTGACATCTTCCAACTCCTTTTTACATGTACGCGTGGTCATCAGACAGTCATCAGAACCATCGTTTTTTTAATTTTTGTTATGGTTATAAATCAAATGCGTTATTGAAAGATGCTTTCAGTGATAACGATTTTTCATAGTACTTTATAAAATGATATATAGTATTAGAAGATTAAGGAAACAATTTATTTTTATTTCACATGAGCTTATTTTCAAGGCTAAATGTTTCAAAATATCGATCATTTAAATATTGGAATGTAAATATTACTTAACCTGTCAGGAAACACGTATATTGCTTAAGGAATAACAGAAAGCAACAACACTATTGAACTTTGCAACAATAGTTTATATAAATTTTATCGATGAAAAGCGGTCCTAGGGCAGGATACTTCAACGTTGAGCAGAAAAGCCGAAAGTCAATTTTAGATCAGATCTAGATTAATCGCGTTTTGTCAAGTTCGACATTAACTTATTGCAGGACTGGCTTCAAAGTTAACTTCATTTTTCAAACAGTCATATAAACAGTCCTAGGACTAAGTCTGCTAATTAAGTTCATTTGATTTTGGTCCTAGGATCGGTCGAAGCAGTCTTAAAATGTGCAACGAGATAACTTTGATCAGTCAAAAATACTTATTATGAAGTTAACCTGATGCACAGGTTAGGACTACACCCATTTATAGTTCATCAAAACATTATCAGGCACTCACAGTTTAGGTAAGCTGGTGAAATGTTTCAATATTTTAAATTCGTGACTTACATTCAAATGACCATCCAGGTTTTGATACTTATATCAGTGAACACATGGCGTTCAACATAATGCAATGTCAGGGTATGTGGTCATTTGTACATGTATGAACGTACATTTACTCTAGATATTCCATACCTAAGATACAATGATAGAAAATTGAAACTGTAATTCTAATTAAAAGTTAATAGCAGGGACATTATTTTATTTGAGTTGAATACATGAGGCAGAAGATACCAAGGGGATGTTAATGTCTCATAAATCGCAGAAAAACCCACAAAACCATGGCAAAAAACAAAAATCGTGAAAACGACGACAAAACATGAGATAATATTTGCATCATTCATATTATTTTCACTATTTTCTTAACCTAGTTATGAAAATTAATTGACATTTAAAATCGTAATGTACTGAAATGTTTTTCAACATACACTTACGTTTAGTAAAGGAACATTTTCATATAATAACATGTCAATGATAACATCTTCATTATAGTTGTGTTTCTTTTTTTCAAATTGAAATACCCTTTTCTTCTTTTCAAAACAAACTATTATAAGTGTTTGCCAAAATACAAATTCGACATTCATTGCAATTCATTATTATAAATAAGGAAATTATCAAAATATCAAAATATAGACCTTCTTATTTGCATTGATTATATATAAAACAATAGCACAAACAAATGAAAAATATCATGTCAGATTATTTGAGAAGTTGTAATTTAAATTGACACCAGTGCGGCAGTTTCAGGTAACAAAATATAATAGCTATGTTTATACGTACAGTTTGATCGTTATTCATTCTCATCAAGCTAATGCACATAATAAGCACTAGACAAAGTATAACGTTCCTTATCCTCCGACATTTTCTCGTAATCATACTTGCATTTTAAAAACAAAACTCAACTCACCGTAAAATCACAATAAGTGTTGAGATTTCGATATGCCGATTTTAACGTGCATATTGCAGTTATATTTTGCACGCAATGACGATTTCATTAAAGCACTGAATTTAAAAAGTTACTTTTATTCTAATTCTTATGTATTACTTTATGATTGCATTCAAAACTAATGTATCTCCTTTGACATTGGAAAAAAAACCAAAAAAACAATAAAATAAATTCATCTCTATCAAATTTATCATCGCAAGGTCTTTATACAAAAATAAGAAGATGTGGTATGATTGTCAATGAGACAACTATCCACCAGAGATCAAATGATGTAGAAGTTAGCTGAAGGTCACCGTACGGTTCTCATAAATGTCAAATATATTTGGAATATGGTATATAACAAATAGCTATATATAAAGGTGCACATGTCTGTCTGACAAGGTTCACCGGGACCTAGTGTTCATGGTTAATTGGTCAATGATCAATTTCTGAAAAATGATACATACATTATTTCACCATGGTATGCAAGTAATTTTGTCCCTTTGTCCACACATGGAAAAATGTACAATACAGAATTCTGTGATAAAAATTCTTCGAAAAATGTTTTCATGATTCCTTTTCTCATATTTCACGTAGTTCAATGATGCTTGGGATAATCTATTCAAATTAGGATCTATTCATGGGTTGATTTTATATATTTAAAAGTATTAGCTCCCTTTCATTCTTCGAAAAATAATGATTTGCTTTACAAAGTTATTTGACCTTGAAAGCTTTAGATGGAAATATTGTTTTTCATAAAAATAGTGATTTAGATGGTTGTAAAACCAGGTTTAATTCACCATTTTCTACATAAGGAAATGCCTGTACCAAATCAGGAATATAACTGTTGTTTCCCATTCGTTTGATGTGTTTGAGCTTTTGATTTTGCTATTTGATTAAGGACTTTACGTTTTGAAGTTTCCTTAGAGTTCGGTAATTTTGTTATTTTACCTTTTTCCTACCGAACAGGAATTCATGTACCTCAAACTTTACAACAAATATGAAATCATGATTGATGGTTGCTAAGTTAACAATAGCATCCATTGTGTTTTATTTTATATATAGATATGCACATCACCATGATAAAGGATGAGACCATGAACTACAAAAAAGAAATCAAAATAAACACCATCTTAGCATATATACTAGTACAAAACATCAGAAAAGATACATTTCTTAAATGAAATTTTATCATTTTTGCAGGGCAGATGTTTTAATGAATTTTCCATACTAGTAGCTGCCTTCGTGGTATCGTAAAGAATTCTTAGATGGTCATGAACGGCGTTTAGGAGAGCATTATTGTTTTGAATAATAGTAGGTTTATCTTATTCAATTTCTGATTAGAATCGCAAATATAATTTGGACCATTTACTCAGACAATCAGCCACCCTATACATTTCAGAATCACACAAAATGTAACAGAAGTTGAAAGTTTAATGAATATCGTTGAATATATTACAAATTTAAGCATCTTTACATCAATTTCATCTCGATAAAATATATCATGTAAAATATGATAGACTTATTAAGGGACTTCATTCGTTGGTACTGGACTGGTATACTGTAATTGTGATCCTATTCATATCAGACCAGATGATTATCTCAATAAGAAAAAAAAAACTTGCAACTTGCTGAAAGACATCATTTAGTCTTTAATAACATTAAATGTTTCATGTCTTAGTCATTGATTTGTGATTTTATAGTCAGAAACAAAAGGCCATCTTTCCAACCCAGAAGAGCATATTTTCAGCCAAAATCTTATTTTGACAAAAGAAGTATCAAAATGATTTTTCTTTAACCCAATTAATTTTGAAGCTCTAAAAGAAATAGTTTGAATGAAAAATGTTGAAAATTTACATATATGTGTGTATATCCTCGTTAAAAACATATTTATATTGATAATTATATATAACCATATGCATTTTATTTCAAGGAAAGCGGTAAAACAGATTTCTAGAGCAATACATATTCACATATAGATCTAATGCTATTTGTCCGCTATTAGTTAACTGTTACAGAACACAACAGATTCATTGTTTATGTCACTAAGTAAAATCCCTTGCTTGATATCACAATATAGAGTGTCATAGTTTCTTGAACAGCAAAACAGTGGATTGGGAAATATTATGGGACGACCAATTAAATTTCTGGAAAAGGGGACCAGGACGATTATAAATTTTGTAAGAACTGGTAAATACTTATTGTGCACAAGAGGAAATGATTGAGAACAAAGTGAAAATAGATTTTCAAACACCAAACCACAGAAAAAATTTGATTGTGTAGCAAAAGATGAAAACGGAATATTCGTCTGCGAAAAGTCCTCCTGTCTCCATAGTCCTAAGATATCAAATTGTCCTATGTTTAATAGGATGAATGTATCATAAACAGAAGTGGTCTCACTAAAAATGCCCTACTTTATTAACAATTAATTTGCGTTTGGATTTCCCTTTGGTATATTTCGCTTTGTTAGATTAGTTTACATTGATGGTTATAAGTAATTAGCAAACCTGCATCTTAACCGAAACAAAACCAAATCCGAAAACAAAAGAAAAGCATACACTGATAAAAGAAGTATTCGGAAGATGGGAAATCAGTTATAGAAATTGCAAACGAGCAAGATCGTTCCCGAGCCTTCTGTGACAGCATCATAGCAAGCAAATAGTCCTATGAATCTGCTGGGGTAGAAGGAAGCGTCTGAACAAAGCCTCCGCTGAATTTTGCTTTTATGTTGACAAACGCTGATACATCACAGATGCAACACTTGTTAACATTTATCAGTCAGGCAACTCAAAATAACTCTAAACTATTTTGTCATGGTTCCTGTAAAAGTCAGAATTTCATTTGCATTCTAGAATGTTCCATCTGTTGTCTCTAGTGTGTTGTTTGGTCAATACAGCCATTCCTTTAAGTGATTAATGGGCATTTGAGAGATATCATGAAAGAGCAATATCAAACAGTCGGACAAAACAACGACGACTTAAAAGCAAGCAAGTTCTTGTGATTAAACAAAGTATTTTCTAGTCGACACCTATTCATACCTAAGAGTAATATATAAATGGAATGGAAATTTTTTTAGAAGCAAAAAAACAATTTATAAAACAAGCACAAATAGCATTATACAGCTTGTATAGAAATAAAATAAACCAAGTCATTCCATTAGACCTACAGCTTTAACCTTTTGATCCCATGATAGAGCCTATGTTATTATATGGTTGTGAGATTTGAAAATTTTAGAACATATTCACAGTTTTTATAAACGAATCTTAAAAGTAAGGTCTTCAACACCTAATTATATGGTCTGTGGAGAATTAAGCAGATTTCCATTAGAAATAAAGGTTAGAATTAGAATGGTATCATTTTGGTGAAAAATATTGCATGATGAAAAATTATGCAGTAATATGTATATATTATTACTTAGTTTAAAGCAAAATAGCAGTCAGTCCTTAAAATGGTTGAATTTTATTGAATTAGTATTGAATGATACAGGATTAGGATATGTCCTTGTCAATCAAGATAGTTCTGACTATAAAGATCTGATAAAACAGATTTTACAAGACCAATATATTCAAAAAGGCATCAAGATGTTCGATTATCTTCCCGTGGTGTATTCTAAGCAAGTTTAAAAAAAAAATTTAGTTTGGAAAATTATGTAATAAAGATGCCGGAAAATGCAAGAATCTGGATGACAAAATTAAGAACATCTAATTGAAAAATTCCCATTGAAACTGGGCGTTGGCAATATTCCTGCGGAGGACCGAACATGTAATGTACGTAAAGAAAATATATGAGATGAATTTCACTATCTTTTTATATGCAAGTTTTCTCATGTGGTTAATATCAAAGAAAAAAAAAATGATTACTATTTATTATACGAAATATCAAAGTAAACAGACGTAAGCATGTTATCTTATTGCAATATTGAATTATATAGACTGGTGGCTCTATTATTAAAAACCTTTATAACTTATTGTAATATATATTTTGTATATATTTTTTATTATTTGTTTTTTTGTATTAAAATTCATGTTTCTTGCTGTATATTTACCTCATGTTACACATATACGTGTCTGAGCGTTGCTTTATGATAAAAATTCTTGAGGTTATACTAAGTGAGAGGACAGGGTAATATATTTGATAAAGGACCTTAATTCACTTTATTTAAATGACATGAAGTAATAACTAATTGTGGGGAGTTGTCGGCTGCATTCATCAGTTATATCTGTAGGCTATTAATATTTTTGAATGTCACTTTTGTTTTCTTCCGCCTCTTTTTTTATATTAGATTGTGCATATATAATACATTTTGACAGATTTTGGGATGTATAAGTACGCATCCGACCAATTTGTTATGAGCATGAGTTTTATTTTATTTAACCGATAAAAATTAAAAATCACCAGGTTATATGAGCTCTAAGGATTTTCAGATTGCATATTGCAGTTTGATTTAAGTAAGAGATTGACACAAACGAAGGCCATGTGTTATGCCGAAATATTTGTTAATACAATTATTTAATCTCATGTGTATATTACTATATTTTACAAGTGTCGTTTCATGGATTTGTAGACTTTGAAAGGGTTAGGATTAGGGTAGATTATAAATATAAACACTTGTTCTGTATACATATATAGCAATTAACCAGCAAAATAATGTACTTGATTGTCTATATGGACAATACTGATTGAACAGAAACAAATTATAGTAGTCTACAAATGTGTGATTTTATATAAGTATTTATTTTTCTTCATGCACAGCGTTTATCATTGTAACAGAATAAACATTAAACAACACAAATGTAAAATATCTACCACTTTAATCCTGCAACTATAAAGATTGATAACAAGTGTTTCTATAACATTACAATTTCATCATATAAAATGGCAAAAGCACAAACACATTAAACAACTGGACACCAACTGTTATAATCCTGACTTGGTACAGGCATTTTCTTATGAAGAAAATGGTGGATTGAACCTGGTTTTATAGCGCTAAACAT